GGGGAACCTGGTGGGGTGAGCGCGGATTCCTCACTGGCGCGTGATTGGATTCGAAGAATGAACTGGAAGGAAACGAAGGAGCTGCCCTGGCTGGGTTGCTGCCTCTGAGTTCCCAGGTCCCCCAGGACAAGGAGCTGTCACCGGGACACCTGAGTCCCAGGCGGCTGGGGGTCTCCCCGCCGCTCCTGATGGGGCTTCTAGCCATGCTCACCCCCCTCTTTGTTGTGCAACGAAACAAGTATCGGCAGCCCCAAGACCTCCACTCGGAACCCCGCGCTTTGAAGCTGAAAGGGCCGAAAGAGCAGAGCAGACCAGGAGCCGGGGGTCCTCACAGAGAGGCGCCACATGGGGAGGCGGCAGCCTGGCCACCCTAAGGAGAGGCTTTGGAGGAGCTGCGCTGGGCCCTACATCTTTGAGCCTCTGCAGCCGGATTCCAACCCCTCTGCATCACCCACAGCTCAAGGGCCCATCTGCACCCTGCTCGCTTTCTAAGTGAGAACTCCCTGCTGACCACTACTTCCACTCTTTCGTGTCCCAGGTGAGTGTAGCTGCGGGTCAGAGGGTCCACTCTCTGTGGCCTTTCAGGAGCCTATTGTCCTTTGCTTCTCCTCCCTTTGCCGACCCTGGTCCCCTTGAGCTGGGCAAATACAGGCGGGCTTTGGTGCTCTTTCTCAGAGTTCCCAGAGCAGATTGCCGGTGGGGAGAGGGCATTGCTACAGTACCCAGCTGGCTCCAGGGTGTAGGGTGGGCTGCAGGTCAAGAGAGGGCTCAAGGTCGCACCTGTACCTCTGCACCCAGGTGTCTGAGACCCAGCCTGTGGACTCAGGGGTTTGGTGTGAAGTGGGGCAGCTTCCCTGGAGCTGTGAGGTCTGTCACCTTGCGGGGGGATCTCTGCCCTTCCCAGCCCAGCCCAGCCCTCCTGCCCCTGCTTCCAAGGCCGCAAGGTTAGGAAGGCCCAGCCTTCTGCCCAGGCCCTCTTCCTGCCCCATCCTAGGCTCAACAGGGGACTGTCCAGGGTCTGGCCAGGCAGGGGGCAACAGCCCTCCATCTTGTGCTGACCTCCGAAACGTGGGGAACAGGCCAGGCCTTGGTGTCTCTTCCCTGCCCTCTGCCAGGGCAGCTGGAGTGGGAGGGGCTACTGTGGCTACCAGCCTGCCAGGGGAGGGGGTCGGAGGCCAAGGCTGAGCTGTGAGGTCCCCACACGCTGCCACAGCTCCAGTAGGCAGTGTCCCTAGCCTGCCATGGGGCCCAGCAGGCCACCCTCAAGGCCATGGCCCTGGCGAGGCTGGGCCCTGCACTGGCCAGGCCCTGCCCCCGCGTGGCCAGGCTTAGAAGTGGAGAGCAGGTCAAACATGGAGAAGCCTCAGAGCGAAAAGGTGACACCAGGAAAGCCATTCCACCCAGCCTGGGAGGACATCGGTGTCCTTGCCTGGCAGAGGTTTTGAGGGGACTTAAGGGAATGAGTAGGGCAAGTTTACCTTGAAGGAAAAAGATGGTTGCTAAGAGGCTTGAAGGTAGCTTTCAGACCAACTCAAGCTCTAGGGAGTCTTGAGGCTGACATTGACCTAAGGACCCCATGTCTGGGGTGGAAGTTGCTGGCCTCCGGCAGGCTGTGAGGTGTGGGCCAGCCGGTCATCAGTTCCCTCAGGACAGGATGGTGTGGTGCTATCAGCTTCCAGGACCAGCTGCACGGGAAGGAGTGGGAACCCAGATTGAGTCCACTACCCTGGAGAAGGTTGCATGGGGAGAAAAGCAGCTCAGAGAGGACAGTGGGTGAGGGGGGTTCTGGCCCCAGAGGTCCCCCAGGAAGCCTAGTACTCCCGGGTTAGCACACCCACTCTGGGTGGCAGGGGCAGCCATTGGCCAGGCCCTGCCCAAGCCGGTCCCAGCGGCTAGGCTGCCCCTCCCAGCCTCCCGCTTTTGCTGGGTGTGGGGGATGGAACCCCTGCTGGGCCACAGGTGCTGACCACTTTTTTACCTCTCCCTCCCTTTCCTCTGTGTCCCTTAAATTTGGTCAGTCTTTGGGCACTCGGCATGCTCTGGGAGAAGGGGGCTCTACAGAATTTCTGGTCGTTTTGCTCATCCTCTGGTTCCTATCTCGGTAGCCAAGAGGGTCTACAGAGAAACTTTCCCCAGAGCTCTGGCTGCATAGGGGTTCCCGCAGGAACCCACCTCAATCCCCCTACACAGACATTGTGCCCCACTGGGGCAAGATGAGGGCCTCCATCTAGGATACACCCTCCAGCCTCACTTTTGGTTGAAAAGAACCCCAGATTTCAACCACAGGCTGGAGGCTGGAGGGGCCCCAGAAGCGATGATGTGGCCCCCGCTACACAGAGGGAAAAGCTACGGCAGGCTGTGGGTCAGACCCAGACTCTGGCCCAGAGGCAGATGCTGCTCCCCAGGCCTCCGGTTCAGTCGGAAGTGGTTGGGGTGGGGCTTGGACCCCCTAAAGGGCCATTTCCTCCGAGACAGACCTCTGAAACTGCAGAGTAGATGCTTCCCCGGGCACTAAGCCTCACCTGCGTTGGGGCCCCAGGAGCCCCGGGCCCGATTCTGCCCCTTTTCCCTCCATCAGAACTGCCCTGGGAACTGGCTTTGAGTTGAAGGAAGAGCTCGGGTCCTGGTTTCTGACCCCAGTTGGGCCCTCCTAGTGCCAACACCAGGTTCCTGCTCCTGAGTGGGTACCGGGAAGGGAGGAATGGGTCAGGGAGCACCCAGTCACGACTTCCTAGGAATTGAACCCAGAGGCCAATTTTGAGGAAACCTCATACACGCTCTGTTCAAAAACCGATGTCTGTGGAACACAGGGACAGTTGTCCCTGCTGTGGCCTGGCTGCTGAGGCTGCCTGGTGCTGCCAGATGTGTAGGGTGTGTCCCCGGGCTTGGGGGTTGCCATGTGCTCTGGGGGGGGCTCTGAAGGGTGGGCCGTTCTGTTTTGTTTGTTTACATTTGTTTTAAGAGTGGGAGACTGCAGACTGGACTCCCGTCCTCCCAAAGGGGACCAGCTCCTGGGAGGGCGGGAGCTTAGCCTACAGCTCTGTGCTGCCTTCAAAATCCCTTTGGGGAGCAGTAAACGGAATCTGTTTCCCACACTTTCCCTCTCCATCCCAGAACCTTTAAAAATTCTCCAACGAATCCTGCCTTTGGGCTGACACTGCGTGTGCTCTCCTGCCACAAGCTCACTCTGCACCCCGCCAGGTGCAGCTGGGGAGACCTGTGCCCGGGCCCCCATCTACCCGTTGCTGTCCCCAGGTGAGGGACTCCGCGGCCCACAGCACCCTGTGTGCAGTGGCTCGGAGGCCCACAGCCGTGCCTCCGGATGGCTGCCCCTACACGCAGCCGCTGCCTCTTCTTCCTGCACTCGGGCAAGGCCCTGGCAGCAACGAAAACTGAGAGCCCAGGCACTGCCTCGCAAGACCAGGCAGCCTGGACCCAGGAGCTGCCCGGTAGGAAGCTGGCTTCCCACCCCCAGCTGCCCAAGTGAGCCGGCACAGAGGGGAGCAGACTCGGAATCCACCCCGAAGAAATCCACATGTCCTCCTGTGCTCAGGGCTGTGAACCCCACCAGGCATTGCAGACCAGCTTGGTTTGGAAATCAGAATTGTCCCTGTGGCTCAGTACCCTGCAGGTGGGCAGAAGGGGCAGCCAGGTTCTCCTCCACCTGGGTTTCCCCTTTCCAACCTGGGGCCAGGTGCCTGGTCCTCTAGACTTCCAGTGGGGCTGGTAGGAGACCTTCAGGTGGAAATGCCAGGCTTTGGTGTAGTGGAGGGAGTGCCTTGACCAGGAACACTCTCTTCCCACCTCCTCCCTCCCCCTTGACTTCCGGAGCACTCCCCTCCCGCAGGCAGAGGGAGGGAGGAGCGTCTGGGTCCCTCTGCCCACCCCCTAGCTGGTTGCTTGTCTGATGCTGTTTTCTGAGTATCCTTGGGGCCCAGGGTACCCAGAAATGTAACATAAGGGGCTCAGACCCAGCCGCCGGAATACCAGAATCCAGAAGAGGACACGGGCTGGGGCGAGACCCTGGGGTAGCAGAAGAGCAGGCCACAGGCCACATGCATCTAACTGCTGGGGTTACACCCTGTCCCAGCAGCCTCCTCCTCCTCCCTCAGGACTAAGTCTTCCAGGGCAGGGCAGTGCCCCTCCTGGAGTGTCTGCGTCTCTTTAGATGGAGAGATTGGAACCATGAAACCCGGGGAGGGAGAGGGTTCAGCCTGCACGGGACCCCAGGTGGGCTCCCCAGCAGGCCCTCTCCCCTCTGCTTTCTAGGAAACCAATTGCTGTGTCATGTTGGTGAAGAGGGCTTCCTGAGCAGGCAGGAAAAAGGAGACCAGAAGGGCACTGGGCAGGGAAAAAAATGACTAGTTCTTTGGAGTTACCCCAAAGTGATGGGGTCAGTCTGCGTGTCCTAGGGGAACAATCCCCCACCTCCCCAGTAGGGCAGGGGTACCGTGCCCCAGGACAAAGACGGCTATACCTCGCCCCAGAATCCTCCCCTCAGCAATCAGCACCCTGTCAGGCATGGAGGCCCCCAACAAAGGAAGGGATACATCTGTTCTTAGCCTGGTGTGTCTGCAGCTCCTTGGGTCACTTCACTGAGGACCTTGGGTGTCGGGCCTGGGGAGTCTCACTGCACTCGGCATACAGTGGGACTAGGGGCACACAGCTAGCGGCCACAGGGCATGTGTCCCCCCTTCCTCTGTGGAGCCTGACAAGCTGAGACCCCGCAGCTGGGGTGGAGTGAAATCAGCCTGTGCGGGCAGCTTCCTGAGCCCCATTTCCCAGTCTGAGGTGGGAGAACAAGCCTGCAGTACAGTATTGTGCAGCCACGGCACCCAGGCGAGAGCCGGCTTCCTAAATGCTCCGCTCCGCTCCGTGGGGCTGACAGCAGGAGCTGCAGAGGCAGCAGCCCTTCTCTCACCTGAGCTGAGTCTGAGGGGCACCTGCCCGGGCTGGAGGGGAAGCAGGTTAGCCAGGAGAGAGGTGGTTCTGGGGAGCTGCAGGTTCCATCAAAGGATCCCTCCTCCCTCTCCCTTCTCCTCCCTCCTGCTCTCCCTTCCCCTTCCTCCTTTCCTCTCCCTCCCTCCCTCCCTCCTATTCCTTTCTTCCCCTCCCTCCCTTTCTCTCCTTTTTTTCTTCTGTGGTACTTTGTTTTGAACCCACAACTTTCACACTGAGCAACATCCCCAACCCTTTTTATATTTTACTTTCAGACAGGGTCTCCAAGTCACTAAACTCCCCAGGCTGTGCTGGAACGTAATCATCCTGCCTCAGCCTCCTGGCATGTTGGGATGACAGATTTGTGCCACTTGCCCTGGCTAGACCCCCTCCTCTTGACCTTGGGCTCTTCTAAGGTCCTGTCAGGGCCTGTGGGTCTCCCTGCTTCTAACAGTCTCCCCAGGTTTAGACCCAGCATTCTTTCATCCACTCACTCGCATTTGGGAGAGACTAGGGCAGGGCAGAGTGGGCCTGGGACTGAGAGTGGAATGCAGGAGCTGTGTCCCACAGCTGCCTGGAGACTTGGGCATCTCTGACCTCCCATGCTTGGGCACCTGGGCTGGTAAGTACAGAGAACAGAGACCCCAGGAACGGTGTCCTAGGAGGTCCTGGAAGTCCAGGCAAGCATCCCTGCCTGCTGAGACTGAGCCCCTTTCCTGCCTATTCCAGCTCCCATGTGGCATTCAGCAAGCCGATGCCAGCAGCATGTGACAGGGCCGTGTTAGGGAACCAGGTGCCATAGCCCTGCTGTAAGGACACGGGGATTTAGGAGGGAAGCAGAGGAGCTGCAGGGCCCTCCCTGCACAGGATGTGGGCTTGGGCAGAGAGAGACACTGGGAGCTGCGTCATTCTGTTCTAGAGGGTTCTGGCACCCTGAAACCAGGGCTGCTACTGGGCCTGGCTCCCTCCCGCCCCTGGATCTCAAAACTGCCCTATGACACGCACAGTGACCCCCTGTGGCAGGTGCTGAGAGGGCTCCACTGAGACTCAGGGGCGTGAGCCGCCCAGGCAGGGACAGGGACCTGTCCTCACAGGCAGCCACAGCCAGACTCAGGTGAGGCGCTGCTGACACACCTTTAGCCCAGGTGACTCGGCTTTCAGAGTGACAGAGGTATGACATGGAGGGGAGCCCCACCCTGCCTGTGAGGTCTTGGGCACTGAGTATGTGCCTGGGCCCAAGAGGGTTAGACCATGAGGGGTCCATGCTTCCTGAACTCACCTCCTGCTGGGCAGCCCCCCTTGCCATACCCCTCAGGGACTAGCCACGTCTGCCTGGGGACAGGGGGCACCCACACCTCAGCAGCAGCCTTGGGCTCACTTGGGGACTAACACACTGAGCAGGTCACGCTCGGTCTCTGCACTTCTAATAAGGTATTTCCAATCATAAAGGTGTCACTTAAATAGGTGTCCGTTAAGTGTGCACGGAGCCTGGCCCACATGGGACCTGGTGGTTCTAACGAGTACCAGTGAGCCAGTTTCCACATTAGAGAAATAACAGTTTCTCATAGAAATGTGGCATTTTTAAAAGAGGTTAATTAATAAACAGCAGGTAATTGTTCGTGGCACGTTGTGGCAGAGGGTAATTTTCATTTTAGAGGATGGAAGGGCCAAATGCCCCTCCC